CCGGAGGCCACTAACCCAAGAATCAAGATTCGGATTCTTTGTGGGTGTTCAGATGTTATTATGGGGTAAACTGCGTCTCCCCCCAAAACATGCTCTTGAAACCCTAACTCCTGATACTTGTGAGTATGACCTCCTTTCAAACTAGGTTCTCTGCAGGTATAGTCAAATTAAACGGAGGTCATCAGAGTGGACCCTAACCCAGTATGCTGGCATCTTTCTAAGCAGAGAAGAGACACAGAGACACACTGGGCGGGTGCCAGGTTTGCTGAGGGAGAGATCGGAGAGATGCAGCCACAGGCAAGGGGCACCAAGGGCCACGGGCAACTCTGCGAGGCTGAGAGAGGCCTGGAATGGATTCTCCCCTGGGGCCAAGCCACTCGGTGCCCCTTTGTTAGGGCAGGAAACTAATAGAGTCCTCCTTAGGAACATGTTTAAAAATGGACATAGGGGCGCCTGTGTGGCTCAGTTGGTTAAGCCACTGCCTTCGCTCAGGTTGTGATCCCAGAGTCCCCGGATCTAGTCTCGCATCAGGGGTCCCAGCTCAGAAAGGAGTCTGCTTCTCCCTCTGACCTTCCTCCCTCTCATGCTCTTTCTCTCTCTCTCTCTCTCAGATAAATAAATAAAATCTTAAAAAAAAATGGACATAAACATGGGGCGCCTGGGTGGCTCAGTCAGTTAAGTGTCTGACTTGGGCTCAGGTCAAGATTTCAGGGTCCCGGGACTGAGTCCCACGTTGGGATCCCTGCTAGGTGGGGAGTCTGCTTGTCCCTCTCCCTTTGCCCCTCCCCCTGCTCATGCTCTCTCTCTCTCTCTCTCTCTCTCTCTCTCAAATAAACAATCTTTAAAAAAAAATGGACATAAGCACAACACTCTGTGTTCAGGGGCTGCTCCATGGCAGGGCCCTGGGTTCCTCCCACACCCCCGCACCCTGGCACTGGGTTTGCTCTGAGAGGTGGTGAACCCACATGCAGGACAGCCGTGGGGTTTGGGCTCCACACCTGGTCCTCCGCTTGCTGGCTGAGCCATCCTGGCACTCCCCTTCTTCCCTGTCTGCATGACGGGACTCGCAGAGCCACCTCCCCGACTACGGGTCTCCCACATGTGGCAGGTATGGGCAGGAGGAAGGGGGAACCTCAATTCTGGAGCAAGTCTCCATGTTATCATTCTGGGTCTCGCTTTTTAAGTTGCTGAATCCATACTCAGTTGACTTCTGGGGACCACAGGATCTTTTGTGACCTGAAAGGGACAGGGAGCCAAGGACCTGTTCCATCCAGAGGAGGGGGAGGGAGACGGCCCTAAGTGTGGTTTCAGCTTTGAGCCCCCAACCAGACCACACACTGGAATCTTCTGGGGAATGGCAGAAAATACTTACGTCCGATTCCAGCTGAGACTCTGAGGGGAGCACTGGGGGGGGGGGGGGCACAGGTCTTCCAAGCTCCCAGGGGATCCTCATGGCAGTAACGTCGGGAACTCCTGAGTTTAGACTAGTCACCGTAGGGGTGGCACAGAACAAACACAGGACTGAGCTCGTGTGTCCTGTGTGTGCTCATTCAACCCGGCCTTATAGCCTCGAGCACTCCTCACCCTCTTGTTCATTTCTGCCCACACGGCAGGTCCCTTAAATGTTCACTCTCTCGTCTCATCGCAGAGGTCTCAGGCTCTCTGCATTTCCCCTAGAGCAAGCATTCTAGGATTCATCAGTGGGCACTGCAGTCTCCTTAAAAGCTAATCTCAGAGATTCCAGAATGCCACTCACACTGCCTTCTCCTGGTCAAGAAAGTCACTGATGTCAACCCAGATTTAAGGGCAGAGGAACCATGATGGGGAGGGAGGGAACAGGGCCATCTTTGGAGTAAGAGCCACCCCACCAATGACACAGGGATTTGGAGCTCAGTCCTCAATGTCTGTGCTGTCCTCCTCATCCCCAGCTCCCTGGGCATCTGCACAGCCCTGCCCTTCTGGCCACCACTGACCACAGAGAAATAGGTGCTCAACCTGCCAGAGGGTCTGGGGACCCAGGAACTGTGCAGAGAGGGGCTAGGGTGTGTCCAGGGTGGAGGAAAGGGTGGCTGAGCACCTCCAGGGCTCAGGGGTGAGGTTGTGTCCACAGCTTCTCCCCCCCCCCCCCCACAGCCCCACGCACCCACGCCAGTGAGGGCGGATCTGTGGCTGGGGAGTTGCGGGAGAACTGGTGTCCACCCTCTCCATCCATAAAGCATGTCTTTGTAATGCATAGTGTTTGAGAGGCCACTCTTTCTGAAATGGCTTATATCCTCTGGGCCCTTTAAAGCCAGGAGCAGGAATCACAGTCCACAACCCTGAGGAGGGGGAGGATCTCTTGGAGTCCCAGGGAGCTGGCTTCATTCCCTCAATTAATCAAGGAGGTGGGTGCTTCTGGCTCCACTAATGCCTCCAGCCTCTCTGCTCCACTGGGGCTGGGATCTTCCCAAAGTACTGTTTCAATTATAAACCATTCCCTGCTCAATGACCTGCAATGGCTCCCACAGCCCACTGATTCATGTGAACTTCCCAGAGTTGGAACCTCTGTGACCTGGCTCCAGTCCCCCTCTCCCAGATGTCCTCTGCTCCTACCTTCCCCCTTTCTGAAGGAGTCTGTGACTATATTCTGGGCCTCCCTCCTCCTGCCTCTCTGCCTAGAGCCCACCAGGGGAGATCTGCCTGAAGTTCTACTCCGTCCAAGTTCAAGTTCTCCAAGTCCTGACGATGACAGGTGTTTGGTGGGGAGGGGCATCCAACACAACAAAGGCACTGTTTTCCTGTTCTTGCCTTTTAACAATACACATCCATCTGTGTGTCTCACCCCCATCCAATCATCTAACAGAAACTTGCCAAAGGCCTACTATGTGCCAAGCGTCTTGGTTGGCTCTGATCCCCTGATCCATTCCCCCTGCTGGGGATGGCCTGGCCCATCACTTCTCCAGTCCTCTGTAAGTACCCAGAAAGAAAACCTACATATATCCCCTTTCACTTTGTCGCCAGCACCCCGTCCCACCCCATATGCCCGGCACGGAGCTTGGCATGAGCTTTTCGGCACTTTTGCCAAACAAGTAGATGGAGGCATTAATATTTCCCTGTCAAACTGTCCACTGGTGATGTGCAGGGACATGCACCGTGCTGGCAAATTATTTAATCTTGTTCAAGTTTCATATCCTGATCTGTGAAAGAGGGAATAACAGTGCCCATGTCACAGACTTGTCCGGATTTACTATAATACAGCGTGCAAATGGTGGGCACACAGCAGGCGCTCCATAAACCTTAGGCTTTCTCCCTAGGATGGCTCGTTGTGTTTCTGTTCCTTGCAACTGACTCGGGACTGAGCATGTCACCAGTGCCCAAATATCTGTTGGTAGGAATACACTGAGCACACAAAACTTGAGAGTAAACAAAAAAGAGAGACAGAGAAAAAAGAACCCAATCTCTGTGCGGGCTCTGCCTACAGATGGTGGAAAGTCCTATGTTTATTTTGTCGGGTTACCATAGCAACCTCCAATGCTCCAGACAGCCCCAGGGTTAGCCCTGATCAATTTATCTCATCTCGTAACCATGGATGCAAGCTGTTTGGTGGGATCCGGAGGAGGCAGGCAGAGACAGGTGTGTGTGAACTCCTGTCTCCCCTAGACATAAATCTGGTGAGGCCACTCCAGTTAACCTGTAGCTAAAGTCACCACTGTCTACAATGATGCCACATGACAATATTTATAAACAAGGGTTTAGGAACAGGAGACAGAAAATTAGGCAAAGAAAGACCAGTGTTGCTGACTGGAGCAAGGCACATTTTGGAAAACTAAACAAGAGGCTGCCTAGAGCTGGGATCTGGAACCATCCTGGGGATCCCGCATCCTTCCATGACTGTGTTCGGGATCTTGTTGTCCATACAGCCTGGATTTTGCTATTACTTTTTCAAGAGGCTTCCACGGGGGGGGGGGGGGGGGGGGATTTGGGGGGTGGGAAAAGAAAGTGTTCTCTTCAAATCCATCCCCTGGAAAATTAAACAGCAGCGGGGCCCCTGCTACACATGCAGGGGACAGAGGGACCCCCGGTGGCCTTCCTTCCTCTGGGCTCCCAACATAAGCAACTCATAGAAGGGGCAAGGTCCGAACGTGGTATACTGGGATCTACTCGTTTAGACCCAATGCGGTCTTCCCTGGAGCCAGACGGTCCTCGGCACTGGGTCCCGGGAGAGGCCACAGGCAGCTCTGCAAAGGGGGTGTCTGCCTGTCTTTGTTCTAGCTCAGGAGAGCTGAGCACGAAAACATAAAGACCCAACGCTCAGAACTCCAGGGGACTCTCTTTCAGCAGGGATCAAGTGATGAGAGGTCATCTGTTTTTTTCCTGACATTGGCAACCTGTTTTGTGTCAAGGGAAGAGTTACGGTCGCGTTGGGCACTGATGCCTACAGACTCCCTACAAAGGAAAAAGAAGGATAAAAGGATAGTGGCGCTCTGGCGCTTGGTTGGTCACAGAGCGGGTCTCACCTCCTTCCTCAGGCTGCGGGGGCTGTTGTCTCCACTTAATGGGGGGAGACTGAGTGGGGGGCGCCCGAGGTCTCCCGCGTCTCGGGAGGATAGGGAATGGAGAACAGCGAGGGTGCCCGCCCACCCGGGTTTGCACGGATCTGGGCTGCACGGCTCTGAGGGAAAGGCCCGGGTCCTGGAGAGGAGACGGCAGGGAGGGGATGGGCCGGGAGGGGTCGCCTCGCAACGCCCAGGCCCCTAGCAGTCTGGGAAGAGCTCGGCCCTGCGCTCTCAGGGCACACGGCCGGCCCCACCCCCCGGGAGCTGCGCTCTATGCCTCGGACGCGAGAGATCAGGTCGGGGATGCCCGGCTCCGGACAAAGGACTGGGACGTAGATCCCCGGCGGGCGCCACCGCCCGGCTCGAAGCCTCCCCGCGCGGCCAGCGGTGCAGGCAGGGCGAGCCCGTGGCCCCGAACCTCCCCAAACTTGCAACCCAGGGGGCGCGGGGAAGGCTCCCCGTTACCTGCGCGGCCATAAAGGACAGATCCATGGTGTCGCCGCTGCCGCCCGCGCTCGAGTCCTCGCTGCTGCCGCTGCTGCGGGTCCAGCCGCCTGCACAGCTGGCCGGGAACGCGCGGAGCCGCGAGCAGACACCTCGGATCCTGCGGCCCCGCGGACCTCAGCAGCCTCGGCGTGGCGGCCTCGGTGGGCTCTGCGCGCTCTGCTCCAGACCCAGACCCGGCAGAGGCAGGGAGCGGGGCGGGGCTCCGGGGCCCGGGAGCCCCTCCACGTGACCGCCCCCAGCCCCACCCCGAGGGCGGGGCCCGGCGGAACCCCCCGCGCGTCCCACATCCTCTCCTGCGTGGGGGGCCAAGTGGGGAAACTGAGGCCGGGGTCGCCCAGCTGATGGGAGTAAGAACTTGGGCCTGGACCCCAAGTACAACGCTGTCGGCGCCCCGTAGGGGCTGGCGTGTCTTGCTCGCGGTTTGAGGGTCAGGGTGACCCAGCTTTCCTTGCCAGCTCTGTGCCCAGAGTTCAGTGTGCCTCAGGCCCTGGAGCTGGGCGCAAGGAGATTTAAAAACTAGCTTGGCTTGTTCTTTATTTCCTTGCCTTGCCTCACTTTCTGAGCAGAACTAACTTTAGGATCCGTAGGAATAGTGAGAGCCGACGGCCATGGTCATGGCTTCTCCCCGAGCCCCTGGAGGGGAGGTGGGCAATGATGGAGGTGCAGAGACCTGCCCAAGGTGGTCCTCTCTGCTTGTTGAAGACTGTACCCCGGGATTGGGGGAGTGGGCGGACCACTGGGCATCTCACCTAGAAGGCGCTCTGCAGACCTAGGGTTTGGGCAATTGCCCGCCTGGAGGGCCTGGCCTTGCTGGGGTGGTAGAGGGTGGGAGGCATCCTGACCTCACCCCAGACTCAGTTGTGAAGGAAAACAGGACAAGAGAAGAGGGATTGATGGACCGACATCTGCCTCTGCTTGTTTAGGTTTTTCTAAAACCCAAAACTCCCCTGAGCAACACCTTGTAGTGCATACCAGTACAGGGCTGTGTATCCTTGCACAAGTGTCTCCCCTCTCTCTGGGCCCCAGTTCCCTCATGCACCGCAATTTCCTGAGTCCATTCTTGTTTTCTTTTCTTTCTTTTTTTTTTTTTAAGATTTTATTTTATTTGAGAGAGAGTGAGAGCAAGAGAGATCACAGAGGCAGAGGCAGAGGGAGAAGCAGACTCTCCTCTGAGCGGGGAGCCCAGCGTGGGGCTCCATCCCAGGACCCTGGGATCATGACCTGAGCTGAAGGCAGGCGCTTAATAGACTGAGCCACTCAGGCGCAACCCCTGAAGTCCATTTTTAATGCTCATTATGTCCTTGCCCTGAACCAAACTCTTTAACTACAATGTCCTTGAATAGAAGAAACATTCTAATGTTACCACACTCTCTGAGTAACAAGGAGGACCAGAGGATTTAAAAGGCTGTCAACAAAATCTTGAATGGAGGTATTTAACTCACCCTATTGATGTATAATTTACATAAATGTATCTATTTTACAGGTCCATGTCAATGAGTCTTGATACATATATACACCTTGTAACCAGAACTATAATCAAGATACAGAACATTCCACTCATCCCTCCAAGTTCCCTCTTGTTCCCTTAGGGTCAATACCCACCATCCATCGCCAGCCTCAGGCAAACATTGATCAGGTTTCCAGCACTACAGTAAGATTTATCTTTTCTAGATTTCTATATAGATGGGATCATACCGATTATTGTTTTTCTTTGTCTGGCTTTGGGGTTCAGCCATGGAGACTCATTCATGGTGTGGCATATGTAGATAGTTACATTGTGATTACTGAATACAGACCCTGTGTATATGGACCAGTCTTGTTTGTATCTTTTCTCCTGCTGATGGACACTTGAATTGTCTCCAAGGTTTTGGCCATCATGACTAAAACACTGAACATTGGCTACAAGTCTTTGTTTCCATTTTCAAAGGGCAATGGCTTATTTGTGTATTGATAATAGGCCGCCAAACTGTTACAAAGTGTTTGTACATTTTATATATCCACCAGCAGTGTAGGAGAATTTTGGTTGCTTTGTGTTCTCACGGAACACTTGGCATTGTTATTAACAGAAGCCGTTCTAGTGGGTGGAAAGTAGGACTTCATTATGGTTTCCATTTGCATTTTCCTGATGACAATGACCTTGAACATCACTTTAACTTACTCACTCTTGGATGTTTGTATATTTTCTTTTGTGAAGGGTTGGATCCAGTCTTTTACCCACTGAAAAAAAATTGGATCAATTGTCCTTTTATTAGTGAGTTGTAAGAGTTCCTTATGTGTTTTTTTTTTTTTTAAAGATTTTATTTATTTATTTAACAGACAGATCACAGGTAGGCAGAGAGGTAAGCAGAGAGAGAGATGGGAGGAAGCAGGCTCCCCGCGGAGCGGAGAGCCCGATGCGGGGCTCGATCCCAGAACCCTGGGATCATGACCTGAGCCGAAGGCAGAGGCTTTAACCCACTGAGCCACCCAGGCGCCCCCCTTATGTGTTTTGGAAACAAGTTCTATGTCAGATATATATACCGTACACAGTTTCTCTGGGCCTCTGGTGTTTTAATCTTCTTAATGGTGTTTTGTTGTTGTTGTTGTTTTGTTTTGTTTTGTTTTTTTCCTGAAGAAAAATTCTTAGTTTTGATGAAATCCAATTGTTTTTTTTTTCTTTTTTATGGTTCATGCTTTCTGTAGCCTAAGCAATCTTTGCCTACCCCAAGGTCATGAAGGTTTTCTCTGTTTTTTTTTTCCTCCCGAAAATTTCATACTTCTAGCTTTTATGTTTAGGTCTCTGACCTATTTTTGTTTTTATATACAGTGTGAAGGGAAGTGTGAGGTTTTTTTCTTTTTCTTTACCAAATGAGTGTCCAAGTGGGCCAGCACCATTTGTTGTTAGACTACCTTTTCTCCATTGAATTACACAGGATGGAACTAGATTTAAGAAGACACAAATTTTACGGTGGTACTCACTCTCAAGTGCCAGCTCTGCACTTATGTGATCCTGCGAAGGAGTATCTCCTTAATTTTAATTTCTGAGCACCTTGTTGACGTCTCCCATGGACTCCTAAGCACCTCACAGGCAGACCTGGCTGTCCCTGGACTGCCTCATCCAAGTGTGTGATGATCCAGTGAGGACACCCAGACCTCTGCCCTGAGATCCAGGTGGGCATATCCACCTGTCTACTCAGCAACTTCTCTTGGTGGCTAATGATATCTCGAATTTAACCTGGCCAGCACTGAGCTATGATTTCCCCCTTCTGTCCAGCTCTGTCACAGACAACTAATGGCATTCCCCAGGTCCTCCATGTACAGTTCTGCATGTTGCACACTGCACAAAGGTGCCTGGCAGACAGGCAAGTAGGGGTTAAAATTCAGCTATGTTCCTCTCATGGAATCTTGTGGATGGATAAGGGGTTATGTCTATCCAGAAAGAGGGTTACCTTTGCTCTTTTCCCCAGAGGCCTCATGAGGGCCAGTAGATCCAGTCTTCTGTCTCCCTTATACCCCACTAACCCTGTCATTCACTGTGCTCTGGCCACACTGAGTTTCTTTCTGTCCTAGGAACACACCAAGTATGATTCCCTGCAGGCAGACAGTCTTTGTTATTCCTTCTGTTTGCAATTGTCTTTCTCCAGATCTTTCTTTTGATGGTTCGGGTTTCATTTCAAAAGCTACCTCCTCCAGGAAGCATTCCCTAGCTTAAGTAATCTGTCCTTAAAATAAAACAAACAGGGGAAAAAAAAAAAAAAACCTTTGGTTTTTTTCCATAACATTTCTCCATTTAAAAAATTTATTTACTTGTTGGGAGAGGCAATCTGCCAGGGCCTTGAGCATCCCAAGTTTGTTTGTTTGTTTGTTTGTTTATTTATTTATTTATTTATTTATCTGACAGAGATCACAAGTAGGCAGAGAGGCAGACAGAGAGAGAGGGGGAAGCAGGCTCCCCACTGAGCAGAGAGTCCAATGAGGGGCTCGATCCCAGGACCCTGGGATCATGACCTGAGCTGAAGGCAGAGGCTTAACCCACTGAGCCACTCAGGCATCCCAAGCATCCCAAGTTTTAAGTCACCTGCATGCTCTGGGTCCTGGCAGTTTAGCCTGGGGGAAGGGAATGCATCTATGCATGCTCCACTTAGAGGATTTGAGTCCTGGGGACAGTCTCCAGACTGCCCTTACGCCAATTACTGGTGTAGAATCCATGTGCGAAGAGAACTGGGGATCCTGCGAGGGGAAATATTCCATTCCTTAAAAGCTGTCAGTCTGAAGGCCACACAGGGAGGCCTGACCCTGACATTTGCTTTATCCAGGACCTAGATGGAAAGACCACAGGGCACCAGAGACCCTGGAGGGGATGCCCTCCCTTCCCGGGAGGCCCTTAAAAGGGTTTAAGAATTCATGAGCTTCTCACTTAGTGGCTTGATCAATTATTCAAGGCCCTTCACAGGAGCAGAGATGGCCCAGGACCTGTCCTTTAGCAGGCAGAGAGAATCCAGGGCAGTGGTGGAGACAGTGAAATGCACAGGAAATCCTTCTGTCCTTTGGAGGCCTGGCTCACTGTCTCTCCTCTGCAGCCTTTGCTGTGAGACCCATTTCTTCTGACCATTTGAATGCTCCAAGGTGATCACTTTCAAAAAGTGATTCCTCAGCGTCTCGCCCCCCGCGCCCCCCCATGTCTGGCTCATGAGCCGGATTCCTCCTGAATCTCATTCTCAGGAAGACGGGCTGCAGTTGGGATTGTACATGCTTCCTGAATGACTCTGATGCCAGCTTCTTTTATCTTTATCTTTAGCTTTCTCTTCCCCAGCCTCCCCAAGGCTCTTATCAAATTGCAATTCAATGCCGTTCCATTTAACAGGTGTTTTCTGAGCACCTACACTTTGCTAGGCATAGAATCTCTCATACATTGCTCCCAAACCTCAGAAAACATAGCCCCAGAGAGGTTAAGAACCTCGCTTGGGTCTCTCAGCAAATGTGGGCCAAGGCAGGATTTGAACCCA